ATAGCTATTGTCTAGTAGATGGCATGAACAGAAGTAGAGTTTTCCCCGCAGAATATTTTTGCTTTACCTCACAACCATTTTAGAATATCTCTCATGATATACTATGGATTCGGAGCGGCGCAGAACATAGGGCTCCTCTAGAACACCAGGAATGTACTGCGCAGCATGATGCGTACTGTAGCAAGCTCGAGAGATTGCTACAAACTTAACTAAACTTAACCGTCGATCGCGAGAAGAGGTCCACGTTCCCTTGAGGATTGCCCAAAAAGACTAGAATATCCTCGCAATTCATATCAGCTGATACCTTATCATGGACCTGGGACGTGACACTGTCTAACCGAACCGCTCTACACATAGGCTCAATACGAACTAACACCTCGTCTACTTGCTTTGGTTCTAGCCCCTCCACTACAGAGATCGGCTCCCTCCAGAGTAATCCAACTCAACCAAATGATCCGTCCTGGACATTATTTCTTGTTACGACAGGATTTACCACGCCCTTTCGACTGATGACATATACTTTCCCGGCACTCAATACCCAAAGCACGGCACGGACAAGACTTGTTGCATCCGTCTGAACAACTACATGATACCATGCCCTCTGCAACCTCCTGTACATGGTATTAGTTCGTATTCCAAGCCTCTAGATTGTATAGCAACTCACTTGGAAAACCCCTCGTGCAGCTTCCAATTCTTGACGACTACCCCAGGTCCAAGGGCCACATTGCCGCTCCCACAGGTCGAGTATTGCCTTCATCTTGACCGGGAACTCTTGGGCCGGGTCTTCGTTGCTCAACTCTGGGTTCAATCTTTCTAGGTTGGACTGCTTGAGGATCCGCAATACCTCTCGAGAGTCCCAGAACATGTTTCCAGTCATGAGGACGTCCGTCGGGGAGAATACAGCATGCAATCGACTGGGTGGTAGAATGAGCGTGTCTCCTGGCCGGAGTCGTAGATTCATCGGTCGATAGTTGGGACAATAGTTCTCCCCACGGGCGAACTCGGCCTGTTCCTCCTCACTCAGAGGTGGAAATATCAGCCAGTCCTTGAAACCTTCTTCCACGTGCACGACGGTCATCACACCGTGGCGATCCACATGAGGCATCGAAAAAGCGCCGGCCTTGGCGAGAAGCTGGAACGTCTCGCTGTTCGTGAGGTCGGCGTCGTGGCCGACCAAATCTTTTCCCGCACTATGGCCCTCTCGGACCAATCTCATGACTTGGTAGTCCATGTTGTTTGCGAGAAACCACGGTTGTGGGTTTGCCTTGACTGCAGCCAGGTTGAGGCAGTTGATTGGCATAGCAGACTTGGAACGAAAGATTTCGACTGCCTCGGTACC